CGTATTAATAAACTTGACATTATTCAACGTAAAACGTTACATCGGCCATTTTTAAAACTATTTTCTACTATAAGGTTCGGGTCAAACGTAGAACTTYACATRAGCCGAACCTAATTAAAACAATGAATAACAAGGCKGTCTTCTTTGATGTCATTAGGTTCGGCTCATGTGAAGTTCGACGTTTRAAMTTATCCTAACTGTCTWGTGTTTTGCAGCGCTCATCGGGACTCCAGTCTCTCAGGATTCAGACCTTCTTTTGCTTCTACTTCCATCCCATCAAATGAMGATAACAACAAAGCAAGTTTTTCAAGGTATTGTAAAAATACTACCACAAACCTCGGAAATTAAGCCCTGGGCTAATAATACTGATTTGTCCAATGTACATTTGAGATGAGCTTATTATTTTCTCAGAGGGCTTCCTTTCGAAGTAGTTTGCCTTTTGGAAAGAAATGTACGTTCAAAATACGCTGGGGAATTTTGGTATTGCATTTTACATTTCAAAATACGGCATTTAGCATTGTGAACTTTATAGGCCAAGAAATATTGTATTTGATCCTTACATCTATCTAACCAACAGCAACAAGCCGGCTTTATTTATTTGTGACAACTATGATATTGTCGATAAAGAAAACTATATCAAAAATCACAAAATAGTTAAACTTGGAAACACTCAGTACGTCTTTGGTTGTAGGTTCATTCTTAAAAAGCACAATAAACTTTTATTTGGAAGGGCTTATTATAGGAAGCTTGTTTACCAATCATTCTGACTTTGAAATCGTTATTTTAAAAAAAGATTTGCAAAAAATTTTTTTCCAGCCCTAAACGAAGAGTCCCATCACGTTCATCGCACAAGAGACCAAGTCGACAACAAGGACAAGATTATTCGAAATATTATGACCCAAACCACCGCTGACCGCGTGCAGGACAGTGTGAAATGAACTGTATTATAACGTGTATCCTTTGGATAGCTATTTTATGTGATTAATATAAAGGCTATTGGATGTTTAACTATGACTGAAACATGTTTAAATAACGTTTGCATATCAAGTTATATGGGACAATCGCTGAGTAACACAAAAGCGAGGCTAGTTGTCCTCGTGTATTACACTTATACTGGGAAAGTAGACTTCGTTTTCAAGTTCCACGTCAGTCTCCCACGCGGTCGTTTTAGACGCATGAATAAGGTACGAAGTATTAAGCTACCTTGAGCATGCATTTTGATCTAATTTCGAATTTTATGAACATAAAAACATTTCAGAACCTTTCAGATCCGGGAAAAGGTATCTTCAGATATTTGTATGCCAATCAGTGTACATCTT